TCCTGCATAACTGATGTGTAGGCTCCCTGAATTAATGCGTATTAACAATGTCTGGTAGTTATGCTTTAACTAGAGTGTACATTTTAAGCTAAACCATCTGATATTGATTTCACCATTCTAGAGTTAGAATCACTACCTTTCATGAGTTCTTGTGATTAATTATCAATGCTAAAACTTTTGAGCTAATTAATAACTAAAATGACTTGTTTTACCTTTCAGCCATTGAATTCTGTTATAGCTTTGTCTAATCTGTTGAATTTGAAATATTATCAGCTTTCTGTTGGCATGTATTTGCTGATTTTTATCAACTCATTTTTTAATCATGCACTTTATTAATGGAAAATACAGAGCTGACTGAATCTTCCCTATAGAAGATATTTTTTTTCCTTGAGGTTCTTCAAATTCTTTCCAGTTCCTCAGTGTTGCTCTTGCATTGAGGACTCAGTATTATTCCATAACTGGACACATGATAAACTGTATATGATAATTTAACCAATTACTCAGTATCCTCCTTTTTGTAAACTCAGGGAGTGACTTCCTAGGATCCTGTATAGGGTCAATTCCTTATTGTGTAAGTAAGTATTGTCTGCTAAGAAGTTGTCCAAACTGAAATCTACAGTTCTGACCTTTAACAGCTTATTAGATATCAATCACTTGCCCTCTGTATGATTTCCCACTTTACCAATTGATATGTTATCTGCAAATTTCATCAGTTAATTGACTTTTTTCAAGTTTTTAACAGAAATATTAATATTATAAAGCTGATAAATGGTTTCTCCAAGAGCCACTGTTTAGCAATGTTGGGGTTTTTGTGTATGTATCATTTTGGAAACTTAGTTATTAGAGAATTTGGAATTATTCTGTATGTGCCTTGTTAATTTTGTATCAGCTGAGTTTTTAATCAAACTGTCATGTATTATCAAGCAAAACACCTTTCAAAGGTCCAATTATATCAACAGCATTATTTTAAGCAATCCAAAGTTTAATCACATCAACATATGATGTAGGTGACTTTGAAAATATTTTTACCCACAAAACCATTTGGTTACTATTAACTGTGTTCCTTTCCTCCCTGTATTTATGGAGTCTGTCGTAGACACTGCATTATTTTATTTGGAAGTGCTGCCAGCCGAACTGGTCTATAATTTCACAGGTCATTTTATTTGTGTTGCTCAAATATTTCCAGACTAGGAACTATCTAAAATTCTTTTGATGTACTCCCCCAATTTTCAAGGTTTATTAAAATCAACAATAATGATATAGAACATTCTTAAATAATTGGCTCCTTTAAAACTACATATACTATATCCTTGCTCACTAGAAATACAGGGTTTTTTATCTATTTCCCTTTTTGTAGTATATTTCTGATTATAAATATGACAAATTCTCTGGAAATTAAATTTTCTCCTTTCTAAAAACTGTGTTATAATTTTTGCCCATTACAGTAGTGTGACAAAACATCTCTCTTCATTTGCTTTACTGTTAAGGAGAAAATTTTCCAGCTTTATTCTCTCCTGCTTCTTCAGCTATTTCAATGTTGTAATTGCTGGTTATTTTACTTAGATTATGTGTATATGTAAAAAAAGCAAGAAATCTTGATTGTCACAAGAGTCTGGAAAATTCTGCACATAGTGCAGGAAAAATGCAGAATAGCTTATAAGCAGATCAAAAACTCCTCAAAGCCTCATGGATTTTTTTGGGAAAAAAATCCTGAAATTATCTTCTTGGCAGATAATAGGCTCTGCTGCTCTGGTATTCTACCCTTGCATTCACTAATTACAAAGTTAGCTTGTAGCAAAATCTTTTTTTCCTTTTTTTTTTTTTTTTTTTTTTTTCTGAGTGATTTATGCCTTTGCTGGGTAGATGACAGTTTTAACCTGGAAAAGTGACTGGCTCCAGTGCAGTGGTTCTCAGGTTCTTTATGGATTTTGAATTTTTCCCAGTATTCTCCTTTCTCTGAGTTTTATGGGCCAATAACCTAAATTTATATCTTATTTTTAAGTGTTTTTTTTTTTTTTTCCCCCTAAAAGGAGGCAAACGTATTTGTAAAGATCTAAGTAGCAGAATGCTATTACTTTGTGTAGCAAGTCAAAGGCTCTGTTAGCTGCTACCACAGAAAGCTATCATTATATTCATAATTTTCTAACCATTGCTAGGGAATGAAGTTTTCCTTCTGCACTATGCAATAATTTCCTAGTGGTACATTTATTTGAAATGTTAATTTTTCTCCCTTTTTTTTTTTTTTCTTTTTTTTTTTGGAAAAGTACATACATTTCTGTGCCCAGATTTTGTACTGGAATTAACATACTAAGAGTTTGATTCACTGCTGCCTTGTTCCAGCTTTATGCCACTGTAGCGCTGCTGATTACAAAGCACGACTTACAACAGAAGTAACACAGTGGTGTAGTAAGATCTAAACGTTAATTGAAATGATGTTCATTCAGTTTAATTCTTCTTTACTGAGCCATAATACAAGTAAGGAGCTGGAGGCAATAAGAAAATCACTGGAATTGCTTAGGTAGCCAAATTGGATAGATGGGATGGCTACCAGCAGATTTTGGAGAACACTCATAGCCTAATACTGTTATGGGGTTTTTATGTCTCTTTTCTGATTCCAAGACTTGAAAGCATTTTACAATATGAATGGATATTAAGGGTAAGGACTAAGTATCTGAATGTTAAAACGTGATTAATAATGGTGAAAATAGGGAGCTCTTATCTACTATAACAGCAGATTGAAACTAGAGGTAATTAAAATGGCACTAAAATATATAATGTGGTTTTCTAAAAGATGTCGCAATCCACATCCAATCTTTCAGAAGTACATGCTTCTGCACACCCTTATCAATATACTCCATAAAATTACTAATGTGTTTAAAGAAGTAGATTGCATCCTTTGTACAATTTTAGGAATCTAATTTAGGTGCCTCTTCATTTCAAAATGATTCCTTTAATCATTCTGTTCTTTAATAAATGCCCATTGTGAAACAGCTACCAGAACTCTTTACATAAAGAAATGCTGGAAAATAGGAGGCTATTAGAAGCCTTCAACAAATAGAATTCATTCAGGAATGTGCAATAGAGGTTTGATCCAGTCGGTTTATCCACATTGATTATGAAGTAAATACAATTTGATTATATCACTTTATATTCAGTATCAATCCACCAATGTTTAAAAAATAATCATTTAACAATGAATAATGCTTGATTGTAGATCTATGCAGTAAATTAGTATATCCTAATTTAATAGAGTATGATCTGTTATTTGCCAACAAACATACAGATTGCCTTATAAATCATGCAGTAGTGTGGTTGTAGAATAACACTGTACTGAATTATATTTCATTACTGCCTATTGAACAGTCATGTTTCTGCCATATAATGTAATTTTCCATCTTTTAACTTAGTTTCTTTTACTAACAGAAAATACAAATTATTCCTGAGGAAAATATTTAATGGGGGCAGGCAATTAACTGTGCATTTCAGGGAAAGTCACCAAGTACGTGAAAATCATTAAAATGCTTTTTTGTTTTTCACCTTACTGTATGTATAATCAATCTTAATGAGTATAAAGCCACAGCTGAGGAAATCAAAAACAATAGGTAAGTCTATAGATTAATGTGGTTGCAGACACAGGTTTTCTCTAATGTCTGTTCTTGTTCACATGAATCACTGACACTTGAATCAGAGGTTTCTCTTCTGTTAATGATTCAAAATACTTGAGGTGAAGTATAGTATAGTTTTTGTTATTGCTTTATGAGTATTTATCCTGGATACCTTGCTTAGAACTCATGTTAAGGAACCATATGCTCCCAAAACATAGAGCAGGAAAGGTTTGGAGGGAAACAGGCCTTTTATAGTAATTAAAAATAGCTAAGAACTTGCTGGGCAAGTGGGGGGGAATTAAAGAGTTAAAATAATATTACATCCAAAATTGTTCCTGCAAACTTGGAAAAAACACATAAAAATTTGAGCCAGCTTCCATGGTAGAACTGAAAGGCTTTATCACAAAGAGTATATCCCACCTTTTCAGTATTTTGGGAAAGGGATAATTGAACATTGTAAGTAGTAACCTGGGTTGCTACAGTACTTAAGAGTGTATTTTTGAGGCTATCCAGTTGGATTCAGTAAGTGCTTAATTCACCTTTTGGAGCATTGAGATATTGTTTTGAAAGTAACATTATGTTCTTAAATCCTTTTGAAAAATTTGGCCAGGGATATGTACTTGATTTCAGTGTATGATGGAAGCGTGCTAACTGAAGTACCAATGGTTTGAAGTTCAACAAGTTCTTAAGACCTCTTAATCCAGCGAGCCCAGGAACCTCAGACAGATTCATGCATGGGAGAAACACAAGGATGTATGTACGAAAAGTCTACTAATCATAAAGTAAGATTCCTTGTGAACATAAGTAGCTCAAATATTACAGTAGCTACAAAAACCTGTAGTTAACTGTTTCATCTTTTTATTTCTTTAGGGGTTTCAAAATCTCCTTTCATCTTTTCAGATGGGATTCTCTAACAAGCTCAGCACTGGCCTCACACTGTTCCTGTAGACATCAGTGAGGGTGTTATCCTGGGCTTAATAGGAATAATTAGAACAGACCTGAACACTTGGAAAAATCCCTGTTGACCTGTTTTGCAGTTTCTCACATGTAAAAGTAAATTTTCAAAAGTTTAAGTGAGAAGTTATGCTTTTTTTTGTGAAAAAAAAGAGGCAACTTCTTTACCCATCAAGAATCAACAACAAAAAACCAGAAAACACAAGCTTTTCCTTTGAATTATTAAAAAAAATTAATGTGAGGTACCGCAGTCCTACCTTTACATTTCGGTGCATGTTGTTGCTGGTGCCTGTTATTACAAGCTACTTGATTAATCCTGAGGGAGAGGATTCATTTTATCTTTAATGAGATCTGAGAGTGTCCAGACTTCAGTCAGGAAATGGTCCAGTGATCCAGCCATGGACTAACCTTGCTGTATTTCATTTTCTTTTCTATTTGTAGCTGGACAGTGCCACTTCTCTCATCCAGGCAGCTAAAAATCTGATGAACGCTGTGGTCCTTACAGTGAAAGCATCGTATGTGGCTTCTACTAAATATCAGAAAGTCTATGGCACTGCTGCAGTGAACTCACCAGTTGTGTCTTGGAAGATGAAGGCCCCTGAGAAGAAACCTCTAGTAAAGAGAGAAAAACCAGAAGAATATCAGACAAGAGTGAGAAGAGGGTCCCAGAAGAAACATATTTCCCCTGTACAGGCCTTAAGTGAATTTAAAGCTATGGATTCATTCTAAACCACTAAGCTTTACCAGGAGGGTTTTATATTCTTTTTGTATGCATACCTGCCGACTTGTATGCATCTGGCATGGGGTGGGGGGAAGCAATGTCAATTTGCATGCAACCTGAGACTCTACTGAAGTAATTAACTTTTTGCAATGCCAAAATTTAGGGCTTTCTCTTCAGATGTTAAACAGACGTATTCCAAGCTTACTTTTTAGACAAAACTATAACATTGAATTGGCCAAAGAATTTGCATCACAGGGGTATGTGGGGGTTAAATGATAAATTCAAGTCTAAAACCAGAAAATTTTTATGCATGCAAGAAACATTAGGTTGGCAGGTATATTAAGTGGAAAAAAAAAAAAAAAAAAAAAAAAAAGGAATTGTAATGGTAGACCATAAAGCTTGTATTGCTTCTGTTCCAGTGCAAAAATGTACTAGCCAATATGCTTAAATGTGTGGCCCAATAATTAAATGATATAACTTTTAAGTCATCTTCATTATAGTATGTGAATTTTTAAAACAGATACAAACTAATTCACCTCAAAAATGCTTCTTTTAAACCATCTTTGGTTCTTTATATTCTAGTAGTGTTATGATTGCTCACATTTCAATTAATCCCATTAATATGACCAGAGGTTTACTTTTGCCAATTGAATTCCTTATGGTGGAGTATGAAGCACAATATGGTGATTGACATTGCCTTTTATATTATGATTATTATTATGATTATTATTATAATATTAGTAATAGAAGACCTGGTGGTGGAATGTTTAGAGACACGGAAACTGACAGTGTGAGAATTTAGAGGCAAATATGTAGGTGTAGCTTGGAGTACAGGTATCTGACGTACCATTGTAACCACTAACTCAATAAAGTCATTTAACCTTGGAATCCTCAATATGACTCGTCTCTGTTAATGCACAGATATCTCCTGCATCATAGTTGATGTAGATAGTGATTAATTTTGCCTCATGCTTCCTTTTTTTTTTTTTTTTTTTTTAAAAAAAAAGGGGGGGGGGGAAGGAAAGACAACATTATATTAATTTTCTAATTTTTTATAGCTAGGATAGCCAAACTTGGTCAGTGACTCAAAAACAGAGTTTAAAACTGAGACAGATTTAAACCTCAATACTTGAGAAAAATGTGTCAAGTGTGGGATTAAGTTTTTGTTTGTTTTGTTTTTTTTTAAATACAACACCTCAGAAACAGCATAAACATAAGTCAGTTTATTAAACTTATAAGGTTGACATCTCAGAACCTTGGAAATCATCTATTATGCCACACTGTATAGAACTATATAAAAACCACTGCACAAAGAAATGCACTATCTACTGTTATTTCCTTTTAGCCTCAACAGTTGGCTCAATTACTGAGGTTGTATTATTGTTATGAAAAGGTCTTGGCATATATGAAAATAAAACAATGAGCATGTATTTATTATTCTTATAATTAAATACTAACAACTTAAGAGAACACTAATGACCTCATAATGGATTTGAAACACTGTGATAAACAGTGGGGTACACCATAAATGTCGTGTATATCCCTCATAGTGTTTTTGACAGATGTTTGAATGCTTGTCTCAGATATGCTGATTTTTCCTCAGAAAAGCAATGTACAAAATTTTGTTCTATTACTCTCCTACACAATCTTTATAAAGAGTCTTACTCGTAGAAGCCTTTTAGGAAATTACTATTTTTGCTTTGTTAAGTTGTACTCTATAATAAAAAGGTTCCCAATCAGAACTTGTGACTGTACATGTGATCAAAATACATTAAAAGATGTGAGGAAGTCCTTGAAGAGCTTTCCCTATAATGCCCTGTAATCTGACATAGACTGGCACTATTTGTGGTACCAATAAGCTACCTAAAAGTAATTGGGATCTTTACAAATGAGATCACAGAGATGACAGATATATACTGAGTTGAAAGGAAAAATAGCAAATAACAGACAAATTAAAATGTCCCAGTATGGTGCATGAGAAAAGAAAACAGGTAATTGGCCACAAATAAAATTCATAGCACTTCTTCAGAAGTGTTTTGCTCTAAAACGGTGATGGATTAACTGAGTAATTGCTTTAAATTTCTATTGTTGCTATAAGGGGCATCTCAAACTTAAAGGTGTTTAGAAGACAGCATACAGACAATGAGATCTATGAACACGTCTTGTAGAGTCTCCCCTGATTAAGTCTCCATGGCTAAAGAGAAAGGCTGTAACACAAGGAATCTCTTATCAGTCACTCAGTAAAAGTGATGGTGTCTGCAAAATTAGGAATGAGGAAAATTAGAGTTTGTGAAGGTAATACCCAGAATGATATTGGGCAACTGAGTTCACTTGAATTAGAGTCCTACTCAAGGATGGACTATTTGCCTTTCGAAGAAGCTCATCTATGCTCTAAATATCTTTATGGTAGCATGATAAAATTTAGTGTTGATAAATGAAATGTAATCGGCATGAAAACAAGAACCAAAAAGCAACCAGAACGTACCGGTTCAGTGCTCAGCTCATGTAGTAAAGGCAAGAGAATGTTATGATTGATGAGAAGAGGTTTGATAGAGAAAGAGGAAAATATTAGATGATACTATACATCAGAGATGTGCCTATGTTTGAATACTTCACACAGTTTTTATCAACTCATCTGAAAGAAGAAATGGTGTAGGATGGGAACATACATGGAAACATGAGGATTACTAAGTCTGGAATTGCTTTCATATAAGGAGAGACGAAATAAGGTAAGAATCTCCAGTTTCTTTCAGGGCATGAATAGTGAAGCTATGGGATGAATAAATAAGGAACAAGCAATCACTCAAATATTAGGAGTGTCACAATGAATTGTCAATCAGAAAGTTCAATATTTTAAGAATATATTATTTTAAAATAAATATATTGTCATCTTTAAATCTGGCAGATCTTAAAGATCTAGAACACCTAATATAAATTGTAGGCATAAAATAATGTATGTGGATTTTGGAAATGTTCACTACAGACAGTCCTCCATTGACATGAAGGAACTCATACTACCAGCACAGCATAATGATGAACTGCTAGACCTCCGCAAACTTCCATCAGAAAGCCACATCTGTTTCTCAAGACTATCACCTTGGTTCACAAGCCAAATGTATGAGTACCATACATATTCCCGTACACATACAACCTTGAAAATTTTCTGTTCAAATTGTACCTACAATGCAAGAGAAGCAATTACATTGCTGTTTCTAGAAATTACAATTATATGTTTCTTGATGACAGAATTTAGTTATTTTTAAATAATTATTTGCTTCCAGCAGATGAATGTACAGCAAATGCCTGGTTTGAAGATCAGCATGGAGGTCAGGCAGGTATCTCTGAGCTAAGGACAGTTTCTGTCCTAGTGGGGTCTGCCATACTGTGGTCACTTTTCTTGTTATTCGCATGCCAGGAATTGGGTTTTTTTCTGTATGAAAAACTAGGAGCCCAAGAGTGAGTTATGTGCTTCTTCCAGAAATGGCTCTATCTTTTGACCTGTGGCCTTGAGGAGAAGGCTAGAGAAAAGAATTTGGCTTACTTCCAATCTTAATAAAATATGAAAAAACGGCTAGCAGAAAATTTTGGTTTATACGATACTACTTCTGCAAGAACAACAGCCAATTTCTGAATTAAGAAATCGGAGAAAACAGAAAGCCGGAGAACATTTAGATACCTTCCAAAATAATTTTCCTCAGATTATTTTTTACCTTGTTAGTTTATTTATTATATCAAGAATTTGAAAGTAAGAGGAAGAGTTAAAATAGCTAAATAAGTATTCTAGGTCAAGGAGCTGGTCGTCAGGGACGTACTGAGCAAGGCATGTTACTACAAAGGAATACAGGTTTTGGATGAGCAAAGAAATGAAACCTGAGAGCAGTAAAATAACTTAGTATATTACGCATGCATAGCACTTTCTTATCCTTAATGCCCAGTGATCTCAATTACATCATTAAACTTATACATGAGTTTAAGTGCTTGGCTGCATATAAATGATAGTATTCATATGCTTAAAAGTTGAACAAATGCTTTAATAATAAGGAAACAGTGGATAAAGCTCAGCACAGATTGACTTTGATCCAGTATTTTCTTGCTACTCTGTCCTTAGAGTGTGAAATCCGAATCAATACTTCAGTTCTTTTACATTTTAAAAAGAGATGGACGAAGGTGTGGAAATGCACTGGGAAACAATCCCACAAAGACAAAAATACCAAGTGGATATTTTTATATCTAGCACATTGTTTTATATCTCCACATGAAAGCTGGCCAAAACAAGTTTCCTGTGTTTCTGTGAAACTCGAGTTTAATACAGAGGATGTGTATTTATAGGCTTAAAATGTCATTTCTGTATATAAAAATGTAGATTACAATGGGATTTTCAAGCAAAAACCCAGTGAGGTTTGTTGGGGTTTTTTTTGTTTTGTTTTGTTTTGTTTTGTTTGTTTTTTTTTTATGAACACCCCAGTATGGATCTAAATTAAAGGCTTATAATGGAAATAAGGCAATGTATCTCCTTTCACTCTATTTATAAATATGCTGTCAAACAACCTTCCAGATCAGACTTGTTCAGTTATTTTTGCAAGGCAGAGGATAAATACATGTCTGGAGAAGGAAGGAAGCTGGAATAAAGAGGAAAAGTTATTTGCTTTGAGCCTCATCTGTAGTTTGTCCAGAAGAGAAAGGTCACAGCTGAAGCTGTGTCCCAGGACAGACACATTATGCCATGGTAGCTCAGCAGTGAACTCAAGCATCTATTTGGAAGTTAAGCACATACTAAGCTTGCTCACTATTGTACCTGCAGAGATTAAGAATAGTCAAGAATTTTTCTGTTTTCTTACTGAATGACCAAGTGCATCCTCAAGCAAAGGTTCACACATTTCTCCTGCTTTAGATATTTTTCCCTTTATGACTCAGTCAACACCATGCTATGGAGAATTGACAACTTGATAAAAACTGTGGGAGGTAGACATGTATTTTCATGCTATAGTTATGCTTTTAAAGGAATAAATACTTAATTACTTGGGCAATGTTTCTGTCTTTTGATAATGTTAGATAAGGTGTCATGGGTGAGTAGCTGTTACCCAATATTAGCCACTCCCTTTGGGTAAAATTTCAAAGTTCCAATGTTATTTAGTAATTCCTGCATAACAATAGACTTAAAAAGAGATACATCTTTTCAGAATGTGAAATGTTTATACTTACCCATTTTATCCCAGCTCACTAAAAATTAAATACATGGAAGAAAGAGAAATCAAGTAGTGTTTCCAAAGCCTTCTATAATATTAAGAGGTAATGACTTTGCTAGAAGGATGAATTTGATCTATTATTTTTTTCCTGAAACAGTTCATGCAGAAATTATGAAAAACAGTTTCTTTGGCTTGCATTTCAAGAGGTCGTAGGAAATTGTCTTAATGGCTCTATTGCCTCACTGAACCCTAGATTTAGCTGCTAACAGCAGGATAAAGGGAAAGAAAAAAAAAAAAAAAACCAAACCTACCAAATATTTTTTTTAATCTTAATTTCTCTTAATCTATATGATGTTTTTTCTTTAACTTTGCCTCTTTTTATTTATGTGTACTTTGTGTGTGTGTACACACACACACAAAGATTCCCAGGTTACACAGAGTTTTAGATGGCCAAAAATCTACCAAGTAGCAATCTACTCCTCAAGAAGCAGATATTGCCTTATTTATCTGGAATATCACAAGGATGTCACAAGACCTTCTGTATGGGATTTCTGGAGTTTTTAAGATCTCTGAAAAGCCCAATGCCTGAATTTTGAAATATATATACGAATACATATGTATCCATATATATCTGTATTTATGTATGTGCATCTTTATATATTTTTGGCTGGATGGAAGTCAAGCCTGGTTCAGTTAAACCATAGGTTCC